TGGCGTCGTAAAGATCTGTAATATCGCCGGTTGTCCACAAATATGCCGGTCCACTCCTTATAATATAGTTTAAACGAATAGAATCGAAGCGAATATCATAATATTTGAATTTGTATTTGATTAATTTTTTCGAATACGAATCCGAATACGAATATAAAACGAACTAAAAATAAGATTTGTATTTGTATTTGATTAATATTCGAATAGTTAACGAATCCTAAACGAATATTTGAATAATCATAGTCCGTAATTTATATGTCGATTTTGAATAATTTAACTTACAATATTTCTTATACCATATCTAAAAATATTAATACATTTTTGTCTTACACAAATTATATTTTATAAAATATAACTATTAAAAATTGCATGCTTTAATTTTTTGTATTACGTTAATATAATGAAATCTTAGCAATTTAAATGCAATTTATATTATACTAGTTTGTTTGATTACTAATGTTGAAAACATGGTTTGTGTATATAAATATATTCGAATATTCGAATATCATCCGAATCGAATACACCTCTATTTGTATTTGTATTTGTTTAATATTCGAATCAAAACTAATATTTGAATTTGAATTTGTAATTGAATAACGCGAATTCGAATCATCATATTCGAATACGAATCACGAATCGAATTTAAAATATTTGATTTGTTTACATCCCTACTATAATATTTTGAGGGACTGGCAACTTTTGAATAGGTAAGTGCTGAACCAATAAGAAGTCTAAACCATTAGAAGCTAGTATATTGCTTAACTATTCAGAGGCAAATGTCTGAACAATTCAGATAAGAGGTCTTAATCATTCAGACTATGTATAATACTTAACCATTCATAGGCAAATGTCTGAACCATTCAGACATCTGCTCACGAAACAGTCTGAAGCATTAAGTGCTGAACCATTCAGACATTTGAACCATTAAGAGGCTGAAACAAACAGTCCATCAGTTTTGTTAAGGATAGATAAAATTTTGTTTCATATCCGTTCTGAACCGTTTTAAAATGGGACAAAGATTGAGACATATAAATATTTTTCTATTTCGTCCCGTTGTTCCCTCTATGTGTATATATATTTATTAAAAAATGTATATGTCTATTTATTTATTCATTTATATAATGATATACCACAAAAAATATCATAATTTTTATTTTTCCAAAAATAGGTATAAATAGTATCCATATTCAAATATTTAAAAAAAATGGACTAAGAACGAGACACCTAAAAATCCAGACCGTTCTAATCCAACACAGCTTATTAAATGTGAATCATAGTTTTTATGAAGCATATAGTTTTGACTTTTGACGTATGTTGTAACGTTTTTTCATGTTTTATTATTGTTTTGGCCTTTTTAAAACATTATAAATAAATATGTCATCTTTTTCATTATTTTGCAAGTCAAAATGAGTTGCTTCCCCCTTATATATTTTATATTTTTATATTTAATTTTAGATAATGACTCATTCCGTTTTATTCCAATCCTGAATATTTAAGGACAAAGAGGGATAAGCTTGTGGCTCGAATCGTTCAAAAAAAGGACAAAACGTGGGACGATATAAAACCCAAACCGTCCCGTTCCGTGCTCACGCCTACTTTGTGTCAATTTGATTTCCGGTGGAAAAAGGTATTATTATTACTCTTGATCCAAATTGAAATTTAATTAGGGACAGAAAGAGTATTTATTATTTATTTTTGAATGTGATTGATTTTATTACAATATGATATTTCTTTTATTTTTTACTATTTAATGACACACAAAAAGTACATACTTTCTTCACCTAGTATTTATTTATAAAAAGTTATTGAGTGACTTAAAAATGTCTAGAATTATTCTAGACTCTATGTTCTTAAACGTGTGACACTTGGCTTTTTGGCCATGTTCTCCTCAACTTATTTTTAACTAATTAATTATTCTTATTGAAATTAGATCAGACCAGGTCAGGCCTGATCAGAACACAAACAACTTTACATATAGCTACATTCAGGTGAAATCAAAATTTATTTGAATCAGATCAAAATCATTCATATCGGATGAAGTGTCATTACAATTTTCAAACGTTATCAAAATGTCAACTCAAATTATTGATTTGAATTTTAAATCAAATCATAATGATCAGACCAGATCAAATCAGATCCAATCAGATCATATCAGATCCAATTAGATCAGACTAGATCAGATCAGATCCAATCAGACCAGATCAAATCCAATCAGATCAGATCAGAACTACAATATGGATGGGTTAGTTTTCACAGTTAATATAATTGCGAGAATGAGTAAAGATAAAAGAGAGAGACACGCAAACTTTAACGAGGTTCGAAGGTGGGGTAATCCTTCTACGTCCTCAAAATCCACTATGTAGTTGGTTGTTGAATAATGAACCAACAATTACACTTGTGTGAATTTCTGCACGTATATCTTCGCAAGGCCAATGTTGCTACTGCACTCGTGCTGGCTTTGTTGTTCCTTCGAAGGTCACGCTTCTTCAACAACTGTAAGATCCAAACAATAGGACTTGCAAGATCAACTTGTAAGAAAGTTGATCTACCCCCTATTAATCAAGAAGTTTGATTAAAAGTTATATCCTACAACGTGGTGTGGTACTTGAGGCAAGGAAACCTTCAAGTGTTTACACTATAGCTCTTTGGAAGGAGGAGAAGTTTGCTTCTGGATAAGGAGTTTAGAAATCTCTCTTTATCAAGCTTTTTGGGCTAACTGTGAATGAGATAGCTTTGTTGTTTTAGATTGCTTCGTTGTGTTCGTTTCTCATATATTCTCCAGTCTTCCAAGGATGCTATTTATAGCTGGATTGGGTAATCTATCCGTTGAATCAAAATAGACTATCCGTTGCATTTGCTGGCTTCAATTTTGAATGAAGATTGTGATTGAGGATTCCTCATTGGAATGGGTGTTTGGACATACCCAATTGTTTGAGGAGGGATTCCTTTTTCCACAGAATCCGTCTTCTAGCTGTTGTTCAAGAGTTCTAGACTGTAGCTCTTTACTCAGTTTGTCTTCTAGTGCTTGTTTAGGAATTCTGGATGAGCTCTTTAATTTGAGAGGTCCAGACTTTGTCTTCAAGTCATTTGTTCTTGAATCAGCTTAATTATCTTCAATCTAGCCGTTGAAAATCAAGAGATTGATTTTTCCTTACCAACGAGTAGAATTTCTTCATTCAAGACTTAGATAATTTTCTAAGTCTTTTCTCACTTGTCCGCTTCTGAGAGTTCTGGTCTTTCTTGAGGCATCCGGTTCTTTGCTGACAAATCCAGAAGAGTCATTCACAGACTTCTGGGTGAGAAAGAGATCCGCGCTGGTCTTCCGATTTGGATGACTTAGCCTTCAGCGGGTTGTAGGGAGACATCCGGTTATCATGTAGTGTTTTGGATTAGAGGATCTTCAACTGCTTTGAGAAATCCTTACTTGTCTCTGACATTTCCGATCAAGATATCCAACTTCCATATAACTGAATTTGATTAAGTCTTCAAGCATCAAACCACTTAAAGAAATATCACAGTTTTATTGGAAATCTCAAGAACTCGGTTTTAACAATATTTCTAAAAAGAAAAATTACATTGAATATTGAGGGAGGCCTAAAGTCCCTATTACAATCTAAATACATAATCATCAAAATCTATAATATTTTCCCAACAATTTCCCCCTTGTCTTGAGATTTGTGATATTTTCTGCCATTTGCTGCTTTCATTTCCAGCGGATTTGGCTTGGTAGTGTAGATGGCGGTGCGTTTGGTAGATCTTTAATATCCAAAGTGGATATTTGAGATCTAGGAAGCAACATCTCTCCAAAGAGCAAAAACAAGAAAAAAAATGGAGGGAAAGGAGGCGGCGGTGGAAGAAAAGAAAAACACAGAAGGACAAGAAAAGGTTTTGGAAAAGAGAATTGATTGTGAAAAAGATAAAATAAGGGTTTTTAAAGTCGAAGGCAAAAATAAAATTTTGAAAAAGAGTTTAGAAAAAAAATATGGTAAAAAATTTTGAAAAAAAATGCTTGAGAGAAGGGAGCAGAGAGTGCACAAAAATTTTGAAAAATGCTTGGGAGAAGGGTGCAGAGACTGCTTAAAAATTAAAATTTGAAGAACAAAAAAGAGAAAAAGGGAAAGATGAAAGAAAATGGAGAGAGTATTGTTCCAGAGAAGGTGTATGGTGTAATCCTGAAAAATACGAGATTTCCACCACAGACCGTCTCTACTGTCGAGATTTTCACCATAGACCTTGAATGTCTTTTCTTCTCATTAGGCTTTCTCCATTGCCGTCTATGAGGGTGAGAAAGAAAAATTTCTCCATTAAGGATATTTTTCTTGGTGTTTTTCTCAGACTGTGAGTTTGAAGACTTTTCATATTGTGATAGGAATGGATTGGAATGTCTTGATTTGAATAGGAGAAGAGTTTGAGAAAGGGGAGGTTCACGGGTTCTATTAAGTGGGTAGTTGGAACGGTGAGAGTAAAGGAGTTTCAACTTCCAAGAAATTGAAAAGTTGAAAAGTTGAAAGAATCTTTTACCAGTTACCAAAGTGTTGAAACTGTTCCAATTACAAATCAGTTTCGTTTGGTTTGAAAAACGTAACTGTTCTAGTTTGGCTAAGCCTAAAAGAGTGGTCCAAAAAAATCTATGCACTAAAGGGAAATTATTCCTATTGGGTTCTCAAGGCCCAAAATAAAACTATCATTTTTCATTCCCTATAGTTCTAATTTCTAATTAGGACGAGGTAGTACCAAAAAAATATGAAATTCATTTTTAAAAGAAAAAGTGGTACTATTTTTCCAAAGTCCTGTACATTATAAAAATCCTAAGGACCAGTACTTTTAGAGCAAGTTGGAAATGAACTAAGGATTAAATCTTAGTTTAAGAAGGCAGATTTTGTAAAGTACCTGAATCGGAGATCTCCAACTTTAGTACTTAAACTGAGGTATCCGTCTTCCATTGCTTAGAGTTTATCAATAGTTCATTGCCAAAAACAATTGTTAGCCAAAAACAGTTAAGTTTCCCCTGAATTTCATTCTCCCTGAATGTATGAATGTTAAAGGTAAATCTCAAAAATCATACTTAAAATGAATATGATCAAGCATAATAAGCATGATAAGACAATGTTTAAACCAAAACAAACAATGTTTAAACAAGAAGGTGTTTTCATCAAAACAAAATAATGTTTTCACATACTTCCCCCTGGTTTGATGAAAAGAGCCTTCACTGCTTCTTGCGCTTGGATGATCCGGTAGTCTCACCAATGCCTTGCATAATTCCACACTGTTCTTTGATGCGCCTGAGGTTGTTGTATCTCTCCTTTGTTTGTTCATCATTTGAGAAGTGGGAGGTAATGGTTCCAACAACTTCTGTTCCATCAAGGCCAGAGTTTGTTAGATGCTGTGTTGAGTTCTCCGGATTGCTCTGCTGAGCTTCCAGGATCAAATTCGTCATATTCAGATGAGAAGGAATGTAAGTGAGCTCTCCTTTCTTGACTTCAATTGGCAGCTCTGGAATTAGAGATGGACTGTTGTGTTGGACAATTACATCAAGTTTGCATTTGCCAGTGAATGTCCCAAAATGCCTGAACAGCTTGAACGCTTCCTTCTGATTTTCAGCAATAACCTTCGAGTAGTCTTAGGTTACCACCTGATTTGCTGAAGACACTGCCAGGGCTGACCTAATATCCATCTGGAGAAAGGCCATCTGCTTTTGTAGGCTGACTGTAACAGTTTCTATTTGCTCTTTGATTCTAGATACTTCATTGAAATGAAGATGACAGTCTGATGCATAAGCTTCCATTGTATTACCCACGGACTTACTCAATGATAGAGATATGATCTCTAGAGTTTTGTCCATAGACTTGCTTATCTCCTTGAGATCTGAGCAATGTTTTTCTTCGGATTTCTCCATCAACTTGTTGTGCCTAGCTTCCATTTGTTCTATCTCTTGCCTAAAAGAGGCATGCTGAGATTCTAGGGCTGATTCAATCAACCCTTGGACCTTTCTTGTCCAGGTTTCCGGTACCTCATCCAGAAGTGTAGAAGTGGAAGACCTGTGAAAATGGAAGTTTGTTTGGGCGATTTATGCGGCTAGTGGCAATTGGGTTTAATTTGGGCGATTTATGCGGCTAGTGGCGATTGGGTTTTTAACTGTTCCCAAGGCCACGTGCTTACCCACTACTTTGACAGACGTGGAGAGTGGGCTGCCACGTGTACCGCACTCAGTCTAATTGGATTAGACCTATTTTGTGAAGCAAATCGGAAAACTTGGTTTCACTTAGTGGTTTTGTGAAGATATCCGCCAATTGTTCTTCAATTGAGATATACTCAATTTTGATATCTTTCTTTTCCACATGATCTCTGATGAAGTGATGCTTGACATCAATGTGCTTAGTGCGAGAATGATGCACTGGATTTTGTGAGATGGCTATAGCACTTTGATTGTCACAAAAGATTGTCACTTCCTTTGTTTTGACTCCATAGTCCAGTAGTTGTTGCTTTAGCCACAAGATCTAAGCAAAACAACTACCAGCAGCAATGTACTCTGCTTCTGCTGTTGATGTAGAGATGGAGTTTTGTTTCTTACTGAACCAAGAAACAAGATTTCCGCCAATGAATTGACAAGTACCAGATGTACTTTTCTGGTCAACTTTGCATCCGGCAAAGTCAGACTCTGAGTATCCCACTAACTCAAATGAGCTGCTCTTAGCATACCATAAACCCATATTCAGAGTTCCTTTGAGGTATCTAAGAATCCTTTTAGCTGCAATTAGATGACTTTCCTTTGGCTTTGACTGGAATCTAGCACAAACACCTACTGCATATGAGATATCCGGACGCCTTGTAGTAAGGTAGAGTAGGGATCCAACTATTCCTCTGTAGAGAGTTTGATCAACATCCTTTCCATCTACATCCATATCAAGCTTGGTGGATGTACTCATGGGGACAGAAACGGATGACTTCTAATCAACTTTGAATTTCTTGATAAGATCCCTTGTGTACTTGGCTTGGTTGATGAGAGTCCCTTCACTTCTCTGTTTGATTTGAAGACCAAGGAAATAGTTGAGTTCCCCCATCATGCTCATCTCAAATTTTCCTTGCATGAGGGTGGAGAACTTGGTGCAAAGAGCTTCCTTAATAGAGCCAAATATGATGTTGTCCACATAGATTAGGACCAATAAGAGATCTTCTCCATCTTGAAGTTTGAATAAGGTTTTGTCAATGACTCCTTTGATGAATCCATTGTCTATTAGAAATTGAGACAATGTATCATACCAAGCTCTTGGTGCTTGTTTGAGTCCATATAGCGCCTTTTTGAGTCTGTACACTTGATCTCCTTTAGTGTGCAACTCGAATCCTAGAGGTTGTTCCACATAAACTTCTTCCTCTAAGTTTCCTTTGAGAAATGCGCTTTTGACATCCATTTGGTAGACTTTGAAGTCCTTATGAGCAGCAAAGGCTAGAAACAACCTTATAGCTTCAAGTCTAGCAACTGGAGCGAAGGTTTCATCAAAATCTATACCTTCTTCTTGACAATAACCTTTGGCAACCAACCGGGCTTTGTTTCTGACAACAACGCCGTTTTCATCCATCTTGTTCCGGAAGACCCACTTAGTCCCAATGACATGTTGATGAGTAGGTCTGGGAACAAGTTTCCAGACGTCATTTCTGATAAATTGGTTGAGTTCTTCTTGCATTGCATTGATCCAATCAGAATCAGCTAGAGCTTCTTCAATGCTTTTTGGTTCCACTTGTGAGATGAAACAAGCAAGCATGGCTTCTAGATTCTGTTGAGCACTTCTTGTGTGAACGCCAGATTGAATGTCTCCAATGACTTGTTGAGGAGGATGATCCCTTAACAAACGAAGATTGTGTTGATTAGGATTGACTGGTTGATCTAGTTCAGCTTCTGGTTGAAGAACAGATTTTGTTGGTGATTCCGGATGGATTGGCACTGGGTCGCCATTTCCGGAATTGTCGCCATTTGAGTGATCCGGGATATTGGAAGGCTGGCCATGATTTCCGGTAGGCTCAGCACCGTTTGAATCCGGATTTCTTTGTGAAGTCTTCAGTGGCAGACTTCCGAATGGAATGAACTCCGTAGGCTTTATTCTATCTCCTTCATTGAGTTCTTCATCTTTGTCTGAGAGATCCAGAACCTCATGATCATGCTTTGGTGGCTTGTCAACCACATGTTTTTCATCAAAAATAACATGTATTGACTCTTCAGTGATCATGGTTTTTTTGTTGAAGGCTCTGAATGCCTTACTCACCATGGAATATCCTAGGAAGATGGCCTCATCTGATTTCTCATCAAAAGTGTTCAGATGATTCTTCCCGTTGTTTAACACAAAGCACTTACTCCCAAAAATATGGAAATATGATATATTAGGCTTTCTCCCATTCCACAGTTCATAGGGAGTTTTGTTGTGCCTTTTATAAATCATACTCCTATTTTGAGTATAGCAGGCTGTGTTAACAACTTCAGCCCAGAACCTTTTTGGCAAGAAAGCTTCTGCTAGCATGGTTCTTATTGCTTCCTTCAAGGTTCTGTTCCTTCTTTCAGCTACACCATTCTGTTGAGGTGTTCTTGATGCTGATGTCTGATGAAGAATTTCGTTTTCTTCACAGTAATGAATGATGATTTCATTCAGGAATTCTGTGCCTTTGTCAGATCTGATCTTCTGGATGGTCTGACTTGCTTGGTTTTGAATCAGCTTCATGCAGTTTGTGAGCTTCCCTTGAGTTTCCTTCTTGTTGTTGAGAAAGATTGTCCACGTGTATCTTGAGTAATTGTCAACTACCACCAGGACATATTTCTTTCAACTTAGACTTATTAGAGTAACAGGTCCAAATAAGTCCATGTGAACAAGACTTAGTATCCTTGTAGTTGAGGGTGCCGGTTTTGCCTTGAAAGTGGACTTGACTTGCATTCCTTTCTGGCATGCATCAAAAATGCTTTCCTTCTTGAATACAACTTTGGGAAGGCCTTCTACTAACCCTTCTTTGGATAGCTTGTTGAGGGTTTTGAAGTTGAGATGACTCAACCTCTTATGCCAAAGCCATAGAAGGTTAGTGTCACCTTTGCTGATTAGGCATGCTTCCTTGACATCGTCCCACATTACTTCATAGATGTTCCTGATTCTCTTCTTAGTGAGAATGACTTCATTTGTGGAGATGTTCTTGAGGGATGCCATGTCCTTGCAGAATTCCAAGGAGTAACCTTTATCACAAAACTGACTTATGCTAAGAAGGTTGTAATTGAGACCTTCCACATAAGATACAGCTTGGATGGTTAGTCCCTTGTACACCAGATTTCCTAGCCCTTTTGTAAGGTCAAAATCATTGCTTCCTCCAAAAGTAACTCTTGGACCATCATAGGGAATTAGATTGCTCAAAAGACTCGCATCACCCGTCATGTGTCTTGAACAGCCACTGTCTGAGTACCAAACACATGGGTACTTAGCGGCTTCCTGCATTAGGAGGAGGAAGATTTTGGTACCCAATTCAGTTTGGGTCCGGAATAGTTAATGGTTTGTGTCCCTACATCAAGTTTGAAGTTGCAGGGAATTTTCCTTGCAGCTCTAAACTTGTTGGGATTGTAGTCATAGTTGTAGGCATAAAACTTCCTACGTGCTGGTGGTGCAACATCTAGTTTCCTCCTAGCAAACCTAGGTTGATAAGACCTATAGTTTTGTCTAGGTTGTGCATAGTGTGACCTGTGACGGTTGTAAGCATACTTAGGTGGAACAAATAGTTTCTGGGGTGGAGGATTACTATATCTTGGCACTGTTCTCCACTCCGAATTTCTCGGAAAACTCCTATCTACCCCATAGTGAGTATAGCCTCGTGTATAGTGGGGGTTAGAAGGTTTTCTTCTGAAATTGTTTCCTTTTTGAGGTCTGTCCAGCTTCCTATAGTTCTTAGGAGGGACTACCTTTTTGGGAACTTCTGTGGGTTTCTCCTTCTCCTTTCCTTTCTGCTTATTGGGTTTGGCAGTAGGTTTGGGAGGGATGAAAGTTGTTTTCCCTTTCCTTTTGGAACTGGAGGGGTCAAACCCAAGTCCTTCACGACCCTTATGTTTGGTCGTTTCAAGAAGCTTATCCACTGCTTCTTTGGACTTAAGTATCCCTAGCTCCTTGTTGAGGGATTTCACCTTTTCAGAGAGAGATTCATTTTCAGCCTTGAGTTGAGTAATCTCACTTAGTTGACTCTTCCGACCTTCAGTCAACTTGAGATTCTCTTCACTCAATAGCTTGTTCTCATCTGTTAAGGATGAGTGTTTGAGAATTATTTCCTCAAAATCTTCCATCATCTTTTTGAACTGGTCAAAAAGATTTTCAGAAGTTGGTATGCTTTCATAAGAAGATGAGCAGGAGGTTTGTGAAGTTACCTCTTGATCAGTATTCTCCTTGGCCATCAGGCAGAGGGTGTCATCTTCTGACATAGTCCACCGATCCTCATGGTTGGACTTCTCAGCTCTGCGCTCCATGCAGACGAGGGCTTCTTCATCCGAGCTTGAGCTGGATGACTCGTCACTTTCAGCTGCTACCATTGCCTTCTTCTTCTTGTCGTTTCTTTCTCTTTCTCCGTACTTCTCCACTTTTGGGTACGGGCATGCTGACTTCCAATGGCCAGGCTTCCTGCAGTTATAGCATAGGTAAGATTCAGGAGGGGAGTCACTTACCTGTGGCTTTCCCTTGGATGGCCTTCTGACTGAGTCAGCTTTCTTGAAGAACTTCTTGAACTTCCGGAATTGCTTGACCATAATGGCAAATTCCTCATCGTAGTTCTCCATTTTTGAACTTGATGGCTGGTTAGAGGAAGGTGTGTCACAGTTCCTTGGGCATGTCCCTTCACTTGATGGGACTCTTGGAGTTGTCATCAGTGCCGTGGGAAATGGAGTGACTTGTTCTTCCTTCTTCTTCTTCAGCTCATGCTCATAGGTTCTTAGCTCATCAAGGAGACCTTGGACAGTGTAGTTCTCCAGGTTTCTTCCTTCTTCCATGGCTGTGGCTTTGGTGTACCACTCAGTTGGAAGAGACCTCAGGAACCTTACATTCTTTTCTTTGGGAGAAAGAACGTGGTTAAGTGATGCAAGATCATTTAAGATTTTGTGGAATCTTTCATCCAACATATCAAATGATTCTCCGGGAAGCATTTTGAAGCTTTTGAACTTTTCAAGCAGGACTTCTATCTTTTGCTTTCTTAGATCCTCCGATCCCTCGCACAGCTTCCCAAGACCTTGCCATATTTCCATGGCAGTCTTGAGATGCTTGATCTTGGAGAAGGTGATGGGATCAAGTGTCTTGAAGATGGCTACTTTGGCGACGTTGTCCATATTGTGCTTTTTGCAATCTCTATCATCCCATTTCTCCTTGGGCTTTGGAATGTACTGGACAACATCAGGATTGGCTGGATTCCTCTCGGGATTCTCCATTTGGATTTTCAAGGGTCCATCTTCAAGCACCATCCACATGTAGTCATGTAGAGCATAGAGATGTGCTTCCATCATGATCTTCCAATCATCATAACCTAGAAGAGAAAACTTGGGCAAACCGTGATCCATATTGTTCACCATTATGATCGCTTCTCGTTAATCTAAATGTAGATAGTGAGAAGTAAGCTCTGATACCAATTGGTGGTCCCAAAGTGGTGAGATACAAAGTCTAGAGGGGGGTGAATAGACTTTGTTACGAATTTAAAACTTTTTCGTTTCTTTTGAAAACGTGAAAGTGAGTGTTAATCTAGAGTTCTTGTGAACTTTAGATTGTGCGCGGAATTTGGTGGTTTAGTTGAGCAGTAATCAATATGGATGGGTTAGTTTTCACAGTTAATATAATTGCGAGAATGAGTAAAGATAAAAGAGAGAGACACGCAAACTTTAACGAGGTTCGAAGGTGGGGTAATCCTTCTACGTCCTCAAAATCCACTATGTAGTTGGTTGTTGAATAATGAACCAACAATTACACTTGTGTGAATTTCTGCACGTATATTTTCGCAAGGCCAATGTTGCTACTGCACTCGTGCTGGCTTTGTTGTTCCTTCGAAGGTCACGCTTCTTCAACAACTGCAAGATTCGAACAATAGGACTTGCAAGATCAACTTGTAAGAAAGTTGATCTACCCCCTATTAATCAAGAAGTTTGATTAAAAGTTATATCCTACAACGTGGTGTGGTACTTGAGGCAAGGAAACCATCAAGTGTTTACACTATAGCTCTTTGGAAGGAGGAGAAGTTTGCTTCTAGATAAGGAGTTTAGAAATCTCTCTTTATCAAGCTTTTTGGGCTAACTGTGAATGAGATAGCTTTGTTGTTTTAGATTGCTTCGTTGTGTTCGTTTCTCATATATTCTCCAGTCTTCCAAGGATGCTATTTATACCTTGATTGGGTAATCTATTCGTTGAATCAAAATAGACTATCCGTTGCATTTGCTGGCTTCAATTTTGAATGAAGATTGTGATTGAGGATTCCTCATTGGAATGGGTGTTTGGACATACCCAATTGTTTGAGGAGGGATTCCTTTTTCCACAGAATCCGTCTTCTAGCTGTTGTTCAAGAATTCTAGACTGTAGCTCTTTACTCAGTTTGTCTTCTAGTGCTTGTTTAAGAATTCTAGACGAGCTTTTTAATTTGAGAGGTCCAGACTTTGTCTTCAAGTCATTTGTTCTTGAATCAGCTTAATTATCTTCAATCTAGCCGTTGAAAATCAAGAGATTGATTTTTCCTTACCAACGAGTAGAATTTCTTCATTCAAGACTTAGATAATTTTCTAAGTCTTTTCTCACTTGTCCGCTTCTGAGAGTTCCGGTCTTTCTTGAGGCATCCGGTTCTTTGCTGACAAATCCGGAAGAGTCATTCACAGACTTCCGGGTGAGAAAGAGATCCGCGCTAGTCTTCCGATTTGGACGACTTAGCCTTCAGCGGGTTGTAGGGAGACATCCGGTTATCATGTAGTGTTCCGGATTAGAGGATCTTCAACTGCTTTGAGAAATCCTTACTTGTCTCTGACATTTCCGATCAAGATATCCAATTTCCATATCACTGAATTTGATTAAGTCTTCAAGCATCGAACCACTTAAAGAAATATCACAGTTTTATTGGAAATCTCAAGAACTCGGTTTTAACAATATTTCTAAAGAGAAAAATTACATTGAATATTAGGGGAGGCCTAAAGTCCCTATTACAATCTAAATACATCATCATCAAAATCTATAATATTTTCCCAACAGTTTTATTTATAATTATTTTATAAATTTACAACAGTATTTGAGTTGATTTTTGAAAGTAATTTCATAATGTAATTCAAACGCGAAGATTAACTAGGGACAAAGGAAAACATACTTTAAATAAAACTTTTACTAATTTTTCTAATATGGAACTAAAGAAGAATTAGTGAAGAACTAAAAAGCTTTAATAGCGAAAAAAGGGGTGAAAAAAAATTTAATAGCAAAATGTGTATATACTAATGCAAGAATTAACAAATTTAAGCACGAGAATTATCAAATCTTAAAAATACATATTAAGAATTAATGTGGTGTGCCAAAAGAGTTCTTAGGGCACGACTTAAGGAACACTACTGCGCCATAGGGCGCCGTGAGTTCGCGAATTCGCGATTGGGGTGCCAATGCACGAAGTGGTATAGGCGAATTATGTTATCTGTGGTAATTAAGCATATGTTTGATTTCCCCTTAGGCTATTGGGTGTCATGTACACCATTCCCATATTCCGACTGAGTGCCACGTCAACTTTCCTCATTTTATTCACATTAAGGGTGTTTTATAGATCTCAGAAAAGAAGAAGAAGAAGAAGAAGAAGAAGAAGTAGACAAAAAAAGAAGAAAAAGAAGAAAAGAAGAGGAAGAAGAAAGAAAACGAAAAAAACCACTCGGTGGGGGGTTGCTCATTACGTCGAGTCCCAATCGAGGGTACCCTGAGGCCTTCCTCGATTGCACACTCAGCAACCTCATCAATCTATTGTGTGTACTAATCACTCTTTCTTTATTTAGAACTTTTATGTGTTTAAGTTTTGTGGTGCTTGTGCGTGACTAAGAGCGTGTTTGGCACTTTGGGAGTCTATTTTGTACTTTGAAACCATAAGCTATAAAATTGGTGGTTTTCTTTTCTCTCCTAGTGACCTCTATTGGTGGTTTTCTTTTCTCTCCTTTAGAGCTCATAAAATCAGAAAACCACACTTACAAGTTTCCCTATAAAATACCCTAAATTTTATATACACACACATATTATGCGTTATTAAGTTTGACCAACTTTATGTTCATTTTATTTTACTTTATTGTATGTGGAAAATTTAAAAATAATACTTATATAGTAAAAAATATGAAAAATTCTAAAAAACCAAAGTTGACAAGATTATATCATTTTATGAAATGAATAGTTAAAATAAGCCAACAAAGTAAGCTGTGTTTGGCCCTGTCAGTAGTATCTAGGAAGATTTATGGAAAACGGTGAAACTAAAATTTGAGTAAACAAAGGTATAGAAATTCTCCCTTAGGGGTGAGCATTTTAATCAAACCGATCATGAAATTGAATATCAAACTAATCAAAGTTTCGGTTTTGGTTTACCTTAACCATAAGAAAAAAGTAGGTAAATCTGTTACAGGCTTTTGGGAACCAAATCGACCAAAAAAACTAAAAGAAAAACCCATATTTCAGTTATTTTCAGTAAAGTCAGACCAAATAAACATGCAAATCTGGCCCAAAAAACCTTTCTCTCGCGTCTTAAGCTTTAGACAAAAAATAATTCTCCCAGCACAACCCTTTGTAATATGGAAATTTTCACGATCGATTTGCCTTTTTTCTTTTTTTCTTTTATTCCCTGATCATTTCCCATATTCTTTCTACAGTTTGGTGGCTTTCTTCGCGGAGGTATGAAAGTTTTTCCTTTTTTTATTATTGTAATATCGGTCTTTACGACCTAAGAATTTCTGCGCTTTTCCATTGTATATTTTTGCAAGTGTTTGAACAAATTACTCAATGAACTTCATGAACATAAAAACTTAATTAGATGATCTAATGGCACTCCAATTGTCACTTCATAACCCCTCATAACCCTCATATGCTTCAAATATGGTTGCTTTGATCCTAAGTCAAACATATAAAGAAAGAACAAAAAGTGTTTAACAAAATTCAATTCATTTCAGTGTCGTTGCAGACCCCTCCCCCCCCAATTAAAATATGCTTGCTACCTCATACAATTATTTGGTACTAAATAAAGTTTGTGTAACACCCTGACCCGCGTGACCTAGACACACAAGCCAGCGGATTGGGTTGCCACCAGATAGGCATATATAGGCAGCTTTGTAACGTTCATCAACAATGATCATCAATTATAATTTTCACTAATGTCACCATTAATGATTCATTATTAGTAACAATTAATTCATAGGTTACATATGTTTCATTAAAAATCTATTAATGTTATTAGAGATTAATGGTCATTTAACTCTTGAAAAATGGAAAGATTTGTACTCAACTTGTAAAATAGAAGAGTTTTTGGTCCGAGGTTGAGCAAGTAGCCAAGGACGAGCATGAGACCGAGCCAAACAAGAATCCCGATGACTCTTACTCTAAGTCGAGGATGACACCAGTTCAAGCTTGTGGTCCGAGCAAAGAACAAGGATAAAACCAAGTACACAGTCGGGACAAGGCTAAAACCAAGTACACAGCCGGGACAGGCACGACCCTGGGGTTCCTACACTCATTTAGGTGTCTAAACTCTGTGACAAGGCCAAGTCCCCCAGAGTCATCTGAGGACTCTACAACTTTGCCATATTTATGACCATTTCTTATTCTTATTGGGTTCATTCAATCACCATTTGTCTTACTAAGTAGAATATGCGTCCATCAATAGATAGTCAATAAACGTTTTGGACCCACAAGTAGATAAATACACCCAAAGTTGGTCAATTTTAATGCCTATTAAAATCCAAAAAAATCCAACAAAATAAATGGATTATCATATCATCACAAACAATTAGAACGAAATCTAATTGTAATCTTTGTTGACGAATTGACTAAATTATAAACTGAAAAGAGAAGAAAATTTAAGACGGATGAAGTAAACCCCAATATTAAGGAGTCACACTAATTAACAAACAAACCAAACGTACAAGAACAAATTAAGAACACCAACTATTCAAAATCATACGAAAAATTCTAGAAAAGCTTCACAAACAACAAATTTACTCAAGTTTTGGTCCAAACTCGCGAACCTTTTTCGGGTACAGAATCTTCTGGATGCCAGTATAACCCAATATTTTCTTCCCCAGGGGCGAACTTCCTGCCGCAGAGCACATAACGAGGAGCATGTGTGAGTACTCGACCACCTCTGGGAAGAATACCTTCCACCATTGTGTCACTTTGAACCATGCTGGCTCTGTAAGGTACCTTTTTCCCCGACAAGCACCGTTCACGATTGCCTTTGCACATCCCTCTACCTTTCCTATAGGAATGATATTCACTTGCTCCTGCAACATATTGTAGAAGAGAAACCACATCATTAAGTGAAATAAAAGATCAAAGAGTATATAATTGGTAAAGAAAGAATACAATACTTCAGACCGTACTACGGAACACAACACGGGTGACCCCATGCTTTGAACAGATAGAACGGATGTGCCGCACAGACAACTATCGTCTATGTGAGTTTGTGCAAAAAAATGTTTTACCCATGAGGTCACCCATTTAGGGCATTATTACTTCTAAGCTCTAATAAGCAAAATAACCAAGCACAATAAGTTCGATGAAAATTATGGAATGTTTATATCATTTCGTGAGTCAAATAGGATTTACGTGATATGACTTCTGAAATCTTAAACAAAACATATGAGTTTTAATATTTGTAATTAAAGCGTTTTAAAATTAATGAAATAATGATTATTAGCAATCAGGCTGCTGCTCGGAAGTCGATGTCAATGAATGGTTGGTGATGATAGATGGCCGTTAACAATAGGTTGGCGGCGACAACAACGGTAACTTAAAATGGTTTAGCGAGAAATCCAAACCCTGTATTGATATCTCCCAAATTCAAAACATATCAAAACACCCCATTTAGAAGTAATATAATATCTAGAGATAACAAATTCAAACTCTACTTTAATTTCATAAGACGCCCACAAAAGGGTTCTAATATATGGAGATATCGCAACTTATATCTCTCGCACTCACCACACGGACCCATGAGAAATATCCCTAATACCTTTTTATTGGAAATTTATGAACACATTAAAAGTTTGTGAGCCTTTGTTTGGTTGATTAGATATGTTCGGAAACTTACTAAAAATATCTTTAGCATTTTGAAAAGGTTATTAATTAACAACGTTTAGCTTTAATGTTTTCAAAATCAATCTAAACCTTAAAAAAATTCAATACGCTAAGTGAAATTATTGTTCCCAAACAAAGCCTAACTTGTATTGAATTAATTTTCTTTATTTTTTTTGTTGAAAATAACAAGACTTAGGGAGAATAACTTACATCCCTCAAATCAGCATCAACACTCAATCTGCCATCTTTATCTAAGTGCTTTCCTTGGGTTAGTTCAGACTCTATAAATCCAGGGGTCACCAAAGTTATTTTGATGTCATGCCCAAATTCAATCCTTAGCGTTTCAAAAAACTGAGACATTGCTGCTTTACTGGCCTGCAATCAAAATGCCAACCATTTTAGCTAGGCCATGAAAAGTCAAATGGAAAGAAAATTTATGGACGGATAGAGTACCATAAATGGTATATAAAAAGTACCATAAAGTTGATCGAGTAAATCTAAGAATATCTATGTTGCTTAGGAATCAATACTTATGTTCTAAATGCAAAATACATACTACATTATAATACAATGAATAGTAATAAAACTACTTACATTGTAAATGCTCATTCTCGGTGCAGATAACCATGCCGCAGATGAAGAAATCACGACAATTCTACCATTAGTCTTTCTGAGATGAAAGCTAGCAAAGCGAGTCATATAAACTGAGCCCCAGAAATTAATGTCCTGATTAAAATATAAACAAGCACATTCTTATTAAAATATTAACTTTTTGAAGATGTATATGTGTGTGTTAAGACTGCATGTTAACTCTATAACTCTATGAGTATGATTTCATCTACTCTAGGTCAAATCCTCATAGACTTATTTTAAGCATTTCCCAAAACTTCTTAAACTTGTGGAGTGAGCTCAGCTTTTATATTCTAGTGATGCTTCTAGGCATTTAAGGTTCTAACCATGACCGATCGAAGAGAGGTGACATCGTGAACCTCTTCAAACAACGAAATTGATGTTACCCCGGCATTATTGACGAGATGGTCCACTGCAGATAAATCACAAAATGGAAATTTTGAAAGCCAAAAGATGTGTTTATGAGAATGGTTTTAGCTAGCTAGGTATAGATATAACAAACTCACTGCGTCCAAAATGACTTATGGCTTGATCAACAATCCTTCTACAATCGTCTACAATGGAAACATCTGCCCGGATTGCAACAACATCTGGAGCCCCGAGCTCACGAGCTCGATTAGCTACATGGTTTAGGCTACCCTCTCTCCTTGCAGCAAGAACTAGCGATGCTCCCCGTTGAGCATACTCATATGCAAGATGCTATGCATGACAAATTAATAATAGGATTAGAGATAATAATAATAATAATTAAATGTAATTAAATATTATAATTCTTATTATATTTTAGCATTAGTGATTTAAGAGTTAACTATCTCTCGTGATAATCGCAAACATAGTTTGGATCAAAGCGTTTTCGTGCTAAAATAAATTTACTTACGATATGTTACATTATTAATGGGGAAAGCAAATCAATCACATTTTCATGTATTTTCATTTGCAACTAATATCTCTCAAATCTCTTTCTCGTGTATTTTGTCTATGAGACATCACATCACTCCCAAAATCTCTCATCAAAACTTACAGGAAATTTTTTAATTATTCTACGTACAACATCGTTCATCCTCCCATTAGAATCTTAAATTGTTAGGGGTGACCACATCATCACTCTATTCTTAAAAGCAGGGGAATTATTTTCCCGCCCAATGCACTCACTTCCTGTACCGTCGATATCAAGGAACAAACAAGATCTACGGCTATGATTGGTTGTGTAATATTACCTATTTAGAATGATAAATTAAAGGACATTTTGCATGCATAATCACTCTATTCTGATAAAAAAGGAAGGGAGTAACTTGTTTCCTAACCAATTTTGCCTAATTAGTTGATTGTGATAAAAAAAAGGAAGGGACGGTGCAGGAGATTTTTTATATTTTTTCCTTTTTAAATAGGTAATTATTTACGCCTAATTATTACCATTATTATAATTACTTGGAATAATTTACGCCTGATTATTTTATCAAAATTAATTATTTATGCCTAATTAAATAGGTAATTATTCACTTAATCACTCTATTCTTAAAAGGAAATACTTTTTAAGAATAATAGAATGATAAATTAAAAGAAATTTCGCATGCATAATTACTTAATTCTGATAAAAAAGGAAGGGACTAATTTCGCAAACAAGATCTACGTTGTATCCTTTTTAGAATAATTTTGCATACATAATTACTTAATTACTCTATTCTTATTTAGAATGATAAATTAAAGGAAATTTCGCATGCTTAATGTATTTCTAAAAAGGAAACAAAACCAAACTCTTTTATAAAATTGGAACTGATATAATAAAAAAATGATTACCATTCAACTAAAAATAATATTTGTCCATAAAAGGTAATAATCACGTTAAGGTGTAAATTTTTTAATCAATGCATTAAATTTATAGTTTCGTAATTTATATAATTTCCAATTAAAAAACAAACCATTTTAATCATACAAACCATTTGTTTCTTTTTCCAATTTAGAAAGAAACCATTTTAATCATAAAAACCATTTGCTTCCTATTCGGAAAGAAATCAAATTTAAAAGAAATGTCAAAGTAATACATAGAAATGGCGGTACATAGAGTCTGTGTTGAATAAATAAATGATAATTAAATAATTAATCACCGTGCAATAAAAATAGATCATGTATTACCATGTAACAAGAATAATAATATTAATATATCATGTAATAATATTGCCGTATTTAATCATTATTAATTTATTACCATGTAAGAAGAATCATAATAATATACTGTGTAATAAAATTACCGTACTTAGTCATTATTATCGTCTAATAATTCTAATCTATGAAGCTTTCAATTTAAAAATATTTCCATTTAGAGAACATGTCCAAACTTAATTTACCATATTTAATCATTATTAATTTATTGCGGTGTGATTATGTTAAGAAAATAAGCTTTCAATTTAATTATGTTTCCATTTAGAGATTCGGTGCCAAATATTTTATGAAGAAATTTATATTAATAAGTTTATGCATTTAAGGAAGGAACAATTAAAAAAATCAAAATAAAAAATAATAAAAGAAATTAAATACTCCCTCCGTCCCCAATTTGATTACAAATTGCGGGTTACGGAGTAAAATTTCCTACTTTTTAAAATCATTTTATTTATAAATTGGTATATTAATAAGATATAAAAATTACATATTAAAAAACTACGTTAAAAGTTCTACAAAACAAGAGATGACAAGAATATTTTATTTTATCAAATACTTAATGAAATCGCGTAAACAAATAAAAGTTATCGAGAGGAGAGAGAAAATAAAATTGTAATCTATTTAGGGATGAAGGGAGTATAAAAATGTCAAAGTAATACATTGAAATGGTGGCACATATGTTAAGTGTTGAATATAGAAATAATAATTAAATCATAAATTACTTTGTAGCAAGAATAAATCATGTATTACCGTGTAGAAAAAATAATAATACTAATATACCGTGGAATAATATTAATGTATTTAATCATTATTAATTTATTGTCGTGAAAGAATAATAATAATAATAATAATAATAATAATAATAATAATAATAATAATAATATACCGTTTAATAATATTATCGTACTTAGTTATTATTATCGTGTAATAATTCTAACCAAATAAGCTTTAATTTTAATAATATTTCCATTTAGAGAACCAGGCCCAAACGTTTTATGGAGACATCGTTTTAAGAGGTCTGCCTTTAATACATGGAAACGTATTGAATAATTTATACCTTTATATGTTGAACAATCAACCACTAATTAATAACTTACCCGGAAAAAATTAAATGCATGGAAATAGAAAAATATTTTAATTTTTTCATACTTTAAATATAGTCATTCTCAGTCACTTTTCATAAATAGCATCTTTCAAATTTTTTGAATGACTTACACTCTCTTGAGTTCTTAAATAAGATTCATGCTTTCGGAGTAGAAAATCATGAAGAAGTCTTTAAATAAATAAATGTTTTATAAGTTGATATATAAAAATTATACGAGCAATGTAATTTATAAAGAAGTCTTTCGTTATTTGTAGAACAATTAACTTTTGTGCCTTAAAATAATAAAATCTTTATATTCTACTCTCTCCGTCCCGAAAGAAGTTCCCTTATTCACTTTTTGGAAAATTCAGGGAGGGATATTTTGGTGTTGACTTTCCAAAAATACTATTGATGTGATTGATAAAAGTAAGATGCGATAGATAGATTATTCGTAAAAAGGTATGATGTGATTGGTAAGATATGAAAAAGTAAGGGTAAAAGTAGTTTTTTAATAAAAAATGGAGGAGTTTGTGAGACAAAAAAAATGAAAGGGGAAGATGTTTTAGGGATGGAGGGAGTATTAGATAAGAAATTATATTCTTTAAAAATAATCTTAATTTAGTAATATAAGTATGACCCGTGCAACGCACGAGAGTGATGCTAGTTAATTTCATAATGTTAGAATTATTAGTAAAAAATATATATGCATATAAACTTGTGTATATACATTGAGCATGAATATCATACCCAATGTTTATATAGGTGTTAAAATTCATATAGGTGCGTGACCCAAGTATGAAAGAGAGATCTTTGTATGACGATATTTAATATTTTGATATGATTAACGAACTTAAGATTAGCTAAAATGACTTCACCTAAAGTAAAATCAAAAGATAACATAGAAAATCAATTGATTGTAACAAAAAAAAAGGAAAACAAAGAAACAAAAAAATAGATATAAGAGAGATTATTTCCATAAAATATTTAAGGAGAAAATAGGAAAACCACATTTTTAAAGGCCTCACGTGACTTTTTTAACACTAAAAAGACCACTTATTTCAATGAACTTGTGAAACTATTTTTGTGGTGAATATTTATCTAATTTTGACTTTTCACAATTAAAATTGATATAACTTGATCACTGGTTAAATAAAATTGATACAACAACAATTGTATTAGTTTTATTTTTAAAAAAATTCAGAATATTATTTTATCTAATTAATATACCATATATATATAGGTAGTATTTTTCTATTTAACTACACGTCAAACCTTGACAATAACTGACTGTAAAAAATTAAAATTAGACAAATATTCAAGTATGAAGGCAGTATTTTTTTTTTGGTTTTTTCTCATTTCAAACAAGGAAAATGTCTGGTTCACAAATACAATGGTCACAAACTTTACAAATTTATTATTTTTGAATTTCAACAAAAAAAATTAGATAGTCTAAAATAATTTTAAAATTATAATTTAAGCAATAGATAATAAGTTTGTAAAGTTTGTGAGCATTCTGTTTGTGAACCTAGCATTGCTTTTCAAACAAAGTATGAATGGGGGGAAGCATACCTCACCAATGCCGGAGGAAGCACCGGTGATGACGGCAACCTTGCCGAAGACGTCCTCCGGGGAAGTGGAATCCAAGAGGGAGAGGAAGAGCTTGAAGATTTGGTATGGGGGCCAGAAGAGGAGCAAGGTGAAGAAGGTGAAGGGCGGAGCCACCATGTTGAGAAACTTGTGGATTGCGTCCAATATCATCATCTCTCTTGCCGATTTAATTAACTAACCCTCTTGTTCTTCAACACATCACCCTCCTTAAATAGAGACTCCAACACTCCATAATTAGAGACTATTTGATACCTGTTATATTGTGTTGTCTACCATATTTTTTGTGTAGGTTGAGCCGGGGGTCTCTTGGAAACAGCCTCCCTACTTTCGAGTAGGGGCAAGTCTGCGTACACACACCTTCCCCAGACCCTACTGTAGTGGGATTCAACTGGGTTGTTGTTGTTGTTTTGTTGATACCGACTATCTTAAATTTGTTTGATACACAGAATTCAAAGTATATAGAATTAGAAATGAGGATAATAATTTAAAAATCATCTTAAATAGGACTAAAATATACTCCCTCTGTTCCACAAAACCCTTCCTCTTTTGTTTATTTTGTTTTCCACAAAACACTTCTACTTTTATTAAAAAACCACTTTTACCCCTACATTTTCATACTCTACCTATCACATCATACTTTTCACTAATAACCAAACTATCTCATCTTACTTTTTCCATCACATCAGGGGTAAAATTGGAAAGTCAACCAAAATTACACTTTCTTTATTTTTTCTCAAAGTCAAAATAAACCGGAAGGGTTTTGTGGAACGAAGGGAATAGAAAAAAGTACTAAAATAAAATTTTCATGTTTTTTTTTCGAAATAGGATTTCGCACTGTGGTAATGTGACACAATACATGTGCACATTACTATAAATTTTGATAATGTACATGACCATGTTTGGTAATGTAAATGCATTTTAAGTCTTATTTCGGAAATAAAAATATGAAAGTTCTATTTTGGTATATTTTTAATGTTTTAGTCCTGTTTTGGTCTTTCTCCCATAATAATTTCAATTCTGTTAAGTATTTGGTAACACAAAAATATGTGGATTTGAAATTGATAGCGCCAAAAATGAATTGAAATTGAAAATTTCAATTTCATCTAACTTTTATCCATCACATCAAAAAAACAAAATTAGAAAGTCAGCTCCAAATAATTATTTCAAAAGTTCTACAAAACAAGATGTGATAAGATCATATTATTTTATCAAATAACTAATGAAAATTAATAAATAAAGTGATTAAAGTTTGATTTTGTAAATAGTAACTGAGAAGAACGTTTTAGGACGGAGGGAACAATAAAATTTAAGAGAAATATTGAAACGATACTCAAAAATGACAAACCATTGTGTAGTAACAATTTCCTTGAAAGATAAAAAATGATGTATATCCAAAATGAAAATGCCCAAAGGTGTAAATTAAATTAATTAATTACTAGACATCCAAAAAGGAAGTGTGTGAAGATGGAGAGAGAGTGCACTCTATGCGTTTTGAATTAATGAATCAGCACATGTACTCTCAAATTTGTTCTTAACACAGCAAGTACGGAGTATTCTTTTCTCTATTTCTAGCAGATTGACTTACTCAAGGCAATGAAGGCACTATCTTTTCTGCAGTTTCACGCTCTTTTTTTCAAGCTTTCACTCGTAACGCGCATTCAGCTTGAAGTGAGATGTTAGATAATCATGATGATGATGATGATCATAATAATAATAATAATAATAATAATAATAATAATAATAATAATAATAATAATAATAATAATAATAATAATAATAATATAATGGTAGTATTAGTTATGGTGGTCGTTGTATTTTAGTCAGCTTCTCTTCGGAATTGTTAGTGCAAAAAATGAATTCAAATTAAATAATTAAATTGTATCCAAATTAATTTCATAGAATTTAACTCCCGGTTCAATTCTAATTTTGTCAATTTCGTATACTAAACAGTCCAAGTCAAAACCAAAATGTTTTGTGGGATGAAGGAAGTATTTATTTTTCCTCAAATAAGTACTTCCTTATTGATAGAATTATGGCAATAGTTTCACTAAAAGTAACTCTTGATTATACCCTCTCCGTCCCAAATTAATGATCCTAATAAGAAAAAAGAAATTGTATTGTTTTAAAGTAATGCAGAGGAGAGAAAAAGATAAATCAAGAAAAATTTTTCATAAAAAAAGAAAGAGAAAGATTAATTTGAGCGATCTAAAAAAGAAATAAGGAAGATTAATTTAGAACGGAGGTAACATTAATTAATGAAATCTATTTTTAAAAATAGTATAATGAAAGTAATTTATATTGTCTTTTGAAAAAAGAAAGTAATTTATACTCCGTATTCAATATGCTTCCTTCGTGCATGTTGGATTAATTAATTAAGTAAAAATTGTTGAGTATAAGACTAAAACATATTAGTTTTCCCTGTATAGGACTAATAATGTTTTTTTCCCCTTCTAAGACTATTTTTTAAAAAAATCCCTTTCCTACCCCTAATTTATACATCCACGTGTGTGGATAAAACCAACGCCTCTTTACTATTTTTTATTTATAAATACTTTACTTACTTAATTATGGGTTAATCAGCCATTATTAACGCCTATAGTTTAGGAAATAAATTTATTACTCTACATCCCTATTTATGGCCACTCATCACAGATTTAATGCTACCATTTTTCTCCTCCATTTTCTACATTTCTTTGTTCTTTTTTTTGAGAACACATTTCTTTGTTCTTACTTCTCAACATATTCAAACTTGTATGATTCTTAGATTCATATTTACTTTATGAACCTTAACATATAAAATAATTACATATATTGATGATTGTAAAAAATCCAAAATGAATTCATAAAAATATATAAAAATGTCCATATTTCATATTTGGACATTAGGACCACAATAACAAGACGCTTTCTTCATTCTTGCAATCAGTTTATAATAAATATATATATTCACTTTCTTTACTAATTCTTATTACACATTTGTAAAACAATATAATAATGTCACTTCTTGTTTGTAAAACATATTTTGCCTCATTTTTGTAGAATGTTTGATATTATTTTTAAGTATATAATTTTATTTTTAAAATCTACACCAAATTTTTAAAAAAATTGAAATGAAAATAATTTTAGTCAAACACTGTAATATGTAACGAGAAGATAATCTCTAGACTACGAGAGTGTATTTTTTTCATCGTAATTTTAAAATCCTAATCGTAATTTAAAATAATAATGAAGTAAAAAAAGAATAGAACTAAAACATAATGACTAAAACATAATGACTTTCTCAATTTAGGACCATATGTTTTTATTTCCAATGTAGGATTATTGGTCATTATCTATTAGTCATTATTCAATTAAATATCCAGCATCACTTGGACATTATTTTTCTCATTAGTCATTATTAAGTCCTATTTAGGAAATAAAAAAGTGTAAGTCCTACATTGGGAAAATCAAGTGATGCTGGACATGAATAAAAGTTGATTTTACGTGTAGGTCTTCAATTCATGAATGGGTTTTGGGTAATTTACATAAATATGACAAAAACATAATGACTTTCTCAATATAGGAACATATTTTTTTACTAATGTAAGATCATTGGTCATTATCTATTAGTTATTATTCAACTAAATGTCCAGCAGTACTTGGACATTATTTTTTTCTAGTCATTATTAAGTCCTATTTAGAAAATAAAAAAATTTAAGTCTTACATTAAAAAATGATTTATATTTTAGTCATATTTAGTGCAAATTTCACTTATGGGTATAAGGACATTATTTTTTAATCCAAGTATAAGGACATTATTGATTACATATGGATGCCAATAACGAAGAAAACATGCATAGTGTCAAAAAAACGGATAGGGAGGAAGAACTGGTTGAGTACGGTGTGTCACATAGGACCACTCCTATTTAGGGAAAACCACCTTCTTTCACTCCTATTGTTGTAAATTTCTCATTAATTAATCATCTCACTTCACTATTTAGGTCAAAAATATTTAACAAGATAAGTCTAGCTAACAAGAATAATGCCTTATACTAAGGGAATATCGTTTTAATATTTTGGATATTTTTTTATTGATATTAAAATAACTTTTAAAATCCTAAATTTGATAGACTTTTTCAAACACTTAAGTTTAACACTAAAGATTGGCCATTTTTATTTTCATGAAGATCCCAAAAACGATCAAATGAAGGTTTGTAGACACATTGACCATTGAAATTATGCTTCTAAACTAATACTCCCTCTGTCTCAATAACAAGATTACGTTTCATTTTTTGTACATTGCATAAAACACTTCTACTAACATTAAAAACGTCAAAAATTTATCACATTTACTTTTTATTGTGGGTGGAGCTTTTTAAAAAAAATTTGGCATTTGAGACGAAATATAAGTATTTTATTCAATGCGTAAAATATGAAACACAAACCTTTTTTTTTGGGATGAAGGGAAAACTACGTTCTAAACTTAAATACATTTCTTTTCTAAATAAATTTAAAATACAAATGTTTCACTTTAAAAATAAATTTTAAACACATACAATTCGTTTTATAAACTGTATTTCTAATTATATTTTTTTAAAAAAATTAGATTGGAATTCGGAAATGTAAACTTGGAGAAGAAGAAGATCGCCGAATGCTGTTGGCAAGTGGCGAGACACGTGTCGCAATTCCTGAATGGTTATACTTTACCGCGGCACGTGGCGTGCAACTTTGCCACGGATGCTACTTTCACGTTTTGTCATAGGATATTAGTTTATTTAGTTCAACTTTTTTTGAGTCAAATGGGATATATTTAAATTTTAATTACTCTTTATTTGTATTGTATATTTTCATATTAAAATAAAATTAAAATCTCTTAACAAAATAAATTTAATAAGGTCATTTTTATATAAATATACATTACGATTTTTATTTAATTAAAATTCAAGGTTTATCCAAATTAATAAGAAAAAATCAAACTAGAAAAATTCACTCAGATGGAGAGATTAATTATATGATAATTTTTATTTGTTTTAAAATTTTCAATGATTACTTAATAAAATAAAACATTCTTGTGACCTTATGTTTTATAGAACTTTTAATACCGTGTATAATTTTAAAATATTTAAGTTATACGAAATATTTTTTAAGAGATGTAATAAGTTGTATTTATTTTAATTATATACTAATATATACTCCATCCGTCCCGCTATATTCGTCCACTTTTGACTTTTGAAACTATTCATTTAAGCACTTTGATTCATCAAATTCTCTCAA